TGTTAATACAAGTTTAACATGTCCCCATAAGGACTCGGGGAGTGACTTGATGGTAGCTAAGACTTGTTGCTCATCTATGAGATCATAACCAGCTGCTTTCATCTCTCTTATCATGGTTGACATTGCCCTTAAGTGTTTAGCCATAATGTGCCTAGAGTCTATCACATATTGATTGAACTTAAGTGTCAAGGCACGAAGCCTCGTAACTGCAGTTCCACTATACTTGAATTTTAGTTGTTCCCACAATTGTCTGGTAGTTGGGAAGTTCTCAAACTCCCCAATGAGATCATCATGCATGCAACTTAACATGGTAAAATGTGCACTACGATTTCTTTTATACCAAGTGTCATAGGCCTCTTGGTCACGATGATGTTGGGCTGTGTTTCCAGCTTCAGGTGGGTTCATCTCTTTAGTTAGATGATCGAGCAACTCTTGCTCATTGAGAAGATACTGAACCTTCTTATGCCAAATATCATAATTTTTGCCATTAAGTTTGGCATCTTTGGTCAAATCAACAATAATTTATTTTGAAGCCATATCACTACATCCTTTCATAAGATTCAATTAGGCATATATCTAATTTTCTAATCAATTAAGATTAGACATATTTAATTTCTACCTATATTACTAGTTTGAAAATTTTGCATATCTAATTTTCTAATCAATTAAGATTAGACATATTTAATTTCTACCTATATTACTAGTTTGAAAATTTTGCATGCATGCTAGTAATCATCACCAATAGTATAAACATTAATTAAAATGTCTAATTTAATTTGACCTTGGATTATGGGAATAACTCCCACTATCCTTAAGCATGGGGATAATTCCCACATATCACATAATATATTGAGTTCTACTAAGGAACCCTTATGATATTTATAGGTACCCATCCAAAAAAAAATATTATGCGTAAAGTAAGCGCAAAATTACATCCATTTACATGGCCTCAATAATTAATACAAGCCAAAAATAAATTACATCATAAGGAATCAATCTACAGGGATGTTGTGCTTGCTTATAAATATTTATTATTTTGGATAATTAAAACTTCCCTATTAATATTATGAACACAAAAATAGTACTAAGTAGATCATATTTTCAAATGCTTCTAGGAAAGACTATAATAGTCTCCTCGACAAAGCACTCTACTTCTGTAGTAATTTCTAGGAAAGATTGGAGAAGTCACAAACGATCTCTCTTAAAACCCAATCTCCTTTGAGAAAACTACTGAGATATGTAATCATCGTACTGTCTTTTTGCATACAAGTTTGCTTAACAAATAAGTAAAATAATTACATTATGCATTTTTATAAATTTTACCTAACAAAT